CTGGCCGCTACCTGTCTGAAACAAAATGCTGACTCTCATGAGACTGACATCTGCCCCTGCAGGGAACTAGTCTTCCCGCACACCTGTTGCAGGCAATCAGATTTTCTATTTCTTTGTGTGTACATGTGTGCATAAAAGCATGCTTGGTCAGGCTTCATATTGACCTCAAGTCTCATCCAAGGGAATTCCCTGCTCTCGCTGCCCTGCAGCAAGGCAGGTTTTTGTTCTTAGCTCCATCTCAGTGAAACACCCGATTGTAATATCCTCCTGTCTCGTGGTCCCAGCAGTGAAGGGAAAGAAAAAAACCAACTCCATTTGTCTTAGCATCAGTATTAAGTGGGCACAGCACCAAAGAATTCAGAGTTCACCAGAGTTCAAAAAGTGATGGGACAATATTCTTGGGTACATGGTGTGGTTCTTGGACCTGTCCTTGCAGGGCCAGGAGTTGGAATTCAATGATCCTTGTGGGTCCTTTCCAATTCTGAGTATTCAATGATTCTGTGATCTTTTGCATGTAGAAACTTACAGCCTTTCAGATCACTTCCCTCTCTCAAATATGGCTGAAGGGAAGCTAAAAAAGATTAATGGGCTGACATCACAAAGAACTTGCTTCCTTAGAAAAGCCTCCTTGGAAAAAATCCAGTTTCATCTTCCCTTCAGAAAATGTAGGCAGGATTCAGGAGAGATTAAAAAGAATATATATAGCAGCAGAAAGCTGAAAGTGGCAGCAGGTGGCTGGAAAGCTGCAGGCAGGAGGGGAAAGCAGGAATGTCTGGTCAGAAGCCACAGCAAGGGCAAGTCTGCACAAATCCTGTGTTGCTGGGTGGTTTGGCTGCAGCTGCTTTGGTCTTCAAAGAGCTGCTGCTGCCAACTGAAAGGGATAATGCCTGACCACTTCAGACTGTGTTTCCTGTCACAAATCTGGAGGACGAGAGAGATCCACACATCTTTTGCTGCTTTCTTTCTGTGCTTCAAGTGTTAGCCCATCTCCATGCCCTATCCCCTTCTGTTTGCTGTTTCAGGGTTAAGCCAAGTCTGTGTGTGATGATGGTGAGCCTTCCATTATTCAGTGAGGGGCAGAGGTTTAGGTGCCAGGTGTGCTGTTTGGCTGCCTTCCTCCTTCACCTCTCCCAGGTCACACTGCTGTGGCTGAAGTCCTGCTGGAGCACAGGTTTGGTGTGTGACAGCTGCAGCTCACAGAAATACTTTGGAGTCCAGCATGAAAATGAAGATACATGGGCTTATGTTAAATGAGGTAACTTGGGATTCAGTTTAGTTTTGTCTCCAAAGCTCAACACAAGCCTGAAGACTAAAAGCTACTGGCAGATTTAAAAGAGAGAGTGTATACGTGCAAAGGGAGATATTTAATAGTGAAGGCGTTTCTCTGAAGAGTGAGTTCCCCTAGGAATGCTTTGTAGAAAATGTGAGACATCTCAGGACAGAAGTCCTCTCTGTGTCCCAATGGTGTTCCCAAGCAGGAGATCAGTGTTGTCCTTCTGCTGCAGCTGTCACATTCCCCCACGTGCCATCAGCTTGCAGAAATTTTGTCATGTGAGACTTGGGCTTGGGGCAATTTACTTGTGTGTGTTTGAGGCCCAGCACAAGTAAAGGTCAAATGGCACCTCCTTTTAAAACATCCATGGTTTTAAAGTAAAAAAGGAGGGAGTTAGGTTAGATGTTAGGAAGAAATTTTTTACCCATAGTGTGGTGAGTCCATGGGCATCAGGCTGGATGCAGAAAGTGAGGGCTGGGAATGACACCACCTCTGTGCCTCACAGAAATGCTCCTCTCACCATTCAATTGCCACATCATTTCAAGTGCATCTTTAGCTGACTGAGGGAGAGGTTCTGCCTAAATTGGGAGATGTTTGTAAATCCTTTGTTGGATTTTCTTGAGGTTTATATACAGGGGAAGAGCTGTCAGCTGGGTTATGATGCATCAAGTACTCCCAGACCAAGCCTGGCAGCTCTGCCACATTCAGAGAAGTCTCTGAAGCACAGTAGTTCCCAGGGCTGACAAATTTCACAGGAAAACTGCTCTTGTTGGTCAGCAGGAAAGAAGCCAACAGTATGTTCTACTTGTCTTTCCTTTGTAAATTCCCCAAATAAGTCATTTTCCACACTCCTCTGGCTGCCATTTAGCTAAGCTCTGCTACTTGGACAAGTTCTCAGGTTTCTGTCAACAAGTCATCTTGGACTTTTCTTCAGTCCTGTTCACTAATGACTTCTATTTCACCACTTTTTCAGTTTATTTGTTTCTTAAGACAGGATATCCAGAAACAACTCCCTAAAATTATCAGAGTAAATAAGTTCAGGAAAGCATGAGGCATCCAATTCAAAATTTAATAAATGGACTATACCAACACCCCTCACAGAGTCTAGGAGGGAAATCATGCTTTAAAGATTTTTTTGAACATGCTATAAAAAGTTTTACCAATATTCCTTCATAAAAATATTAATGGGAAAACAGCATCAAGCTTTCCCCAGAAGAGGCTAATTAGGAAATACAATAGAAATATTAGTCAGAAGTCCTTGACAAGAAGGGAGAAGAAAACAAATATTCCATATCTCAGTGTAATGATCTAGTGCTTAATCATAGGAAATGAGAAGCAGATAAACAGGAAAAAGAGGAAGGAGCTGGCAGTGAAAGTCAAGTGGGGAAAGACCAGATCACTCAGAGCAACTACTCTGGGAGGCTCTGATAGGCATCATTAACAATAGGGGCAGGAAAACAAGTTTAAAGAGGACTTAATTTCAAGTAGATCTTGGGTCAAATGAGAATAATTAGCTATCCATCAACTCTTGTGGAAAAAGGAAAACACTGGCTTAATTTGAATGACATTTTCATTGCTTTATTTATGTAACTATGCTCCTTTATTGCCCTCCAGTGTATAGAAATTAACACATTGGATTCTTCATCTGTAAATTTTGATCAGTTACAAAGCAAACTCTGAATAATCCAAGATGGGAGAGGGACCCTCAGTCAAGTTCTTGCAGTGCTTTGCAGACCAATGTGCTTAATTGGAGATATTCACAGAGCTCCAGTTTTCTTGTCCATTGAGTTGCCTTCCCCAATTTAGGATGTAGTGGCACAGGGGCTTCCTCCACTGGCTGACCATACCCAAGAAAGCAATATTATGGGGAAAGTAGCCAAAGGGAATCATGAGTTTGTACTAATGCAGATCCTGTTTTGAGGGTTCAGTTTTTGGTTTGTGGTTTTTTGTTGTTGTTTTTTTTTTTTTTTCTGGATTTCTGCTTTTCCTTTCTTTCCCCAAGTCTCACAGGGTTCCCTTGATTCTCTCCAGCCCATTTCACTGCAATTTCTTCTAATTGCCCCAAGAGTGCTCCTGCTTTGTACTGGTAACTCATAAATGCATTACTCAGCAGCAATTTGTGCTCCAACCTGAGCAGTGGCAGGGCAGGTGATCAGATCAGCTGGGCTGGATCCTCAGATTTCCTCTGCCACTGCCAGTCATGGCTTATTCCACCATCTCTCTGCAGCGATGGAAGATGCTGCTGTTCTCTAGGTAGCTGACCTTTTCTGCACAAAGGTGACATTATGACTCTTCCCCTGTTTTCTTCCCACACCCACGTTTACAGGGCCATTTACTATTCTTTCCTCCAGCATGATTAAAAACACCAGTCTTTCTTTGTGACAATATTGAGTATTGTTATCAAGTAATCTTCTCTCACAATTACTGCAGCTTTTATCCTCTCTAACCTCCACAACCACTGCACTTGCTAATAGTTAATGTGAAGAAGGCTTTTGGAACATCTTTCTTCTTTTGATTGGCTTTGAGGTTGAAAACACTTCATCATGACCTAAAACTTTGATCTTGTATTACAACATAAAAGACACAGAAATGTTTTGAGTGTATCAGAAGAAGAAGATGATTTTTGTGTTAAGCCATTGGGCATCAGAGTGGCATTAACATCTGTTACAGAGGAAATATTTACTGGTGTTATATACAGATATTAAGTATTTATCTACTGCTCTGTAAAGGGACAGAGAGGTCCATTTGGTTCTAAAAACAAAAACCTGGCTGGAAATCTTCCTGCCTGTTGGTTTTTGACTTAAGGAACTGAAATTCCAGAAGTCTCAAATGTTACTCACATTACATTGTATTCACAACGGCCAGCAGGATGGGACAGGTAAATTACTGAATGTCCTGGGCAAGCTGATGGAGAGGCTGGTAAAAAGTTAAATGATTAAGGGCTGAAGGCAGTACTCTAGAGGACGCTTTATAGAAAAGAGCGTTTTTCAAAACAAGAAGAATTGATTTCAGCCTTTGAAGAGCTTACACATCAGACTGATAAAGACAACCGTGTTGATGCCATCAAAGTCTACGGGGCATCATGCAGGGCTTCACTGACGTGGGGCTTTCCAAGCCTGCCTTGTGCAGCATTCCCAATTCCCGGGGCAGTGACTGAGGACAGCCACCAGCCCAGCCCGTCGCGGTGGGCAGCCGCAGGGAAGCCCGGCCGCCTTGCACCGTCTCAGGTAAAGTTTCACCGCTCTCGCTCAGCTCTCCAGTGATCCGAAGGAAAAAGGCCTGAAGGCATCCAGCAGACCGACAAAGAGGCTGCAGTGGCCAGTCAGGCGGTAAACCTGGAAGTTTAGAACCAGAAGTGGAAGCACGATCTGCCGGCGGTGGGGTGGGAAGGGGCCGTTTCCCACACAACCGCGGAGACAGCCCCGCAGATGCCAGCGGAGGGGAGCAGCGGGTCCGTCCCTGCGCTCCTCGGTGAGTGGGACGAAGACAAAGGGGGCTGCCGGATCCTCTCCGGCCGCCTTCCCCGGAGGAGGAGCGGCGGGGCAGGCAGCAGCAGCACCAGGGTCCCCGGGCAGCCCCCGCCCCTCACAGCGCGGCCCCCGCGCTCCTCACGGGGCGGGCGGCGCCGGGGCGGGGAAGGACCCGCGGTGTGGGATGGGGCGGCGCGAGGCGTTCCCGACGGGAATGCTCGGCGGAGCGGGCGTGCGGGGCCGCGCGGGCTGCCGGCATGTCGGGGCCGCGCTGCCCGCAGTGCGCCCAGCCCTGCGCGTCGCCGCGGCTGCTGCCCTGCCTGCACTCGCTGTGCGAGCCCTGCCTGCGCCGGCTCGGGCCGCCGGAGGGGCCGCCGGGCGCCGCCCGCCCCGTCCTGTGCCCGGTGTGCGACGCCGAGCTGTCGCTGCCGGCCGGCGGCGTGGGGCAGCTCCCCCCCGACTGCCTGGCCCGGAGCCGCGGCCGGGCCGCCGGGTGCGACCTCTGCGCCGACGGGGCGGCGGCCGGGCGGTGCCTGACCTGCGGCCTCCGCCTGTGCCGCTTCTGCTGCCGGGCGCACAGGTGAGCGGCGGCGGGACGGGGACAGCGGGACACGCGGCTGAGGGAGGGCGCAGCGGGCACGGACCCGCTCAGGGCGAGCCGGAGCAAGAATTGGCGTGTCTCCCGGTTTTTGCCCACTGCTCACAACCCCTGGCCTGACGATGTCCGCAGGGATGCTCTGTACACGGGTGGGGACGAGCAAGCTGCTAGCATAGAATCATAGAATGTCTGGAGTTGGAAGGGACCCACAAGGATCATGGAGTCCAAGTCCTGGCCCAAGACAGCCCCACGGATCTCATGAGCCTGTGAGTGTTGTCCAAACACTTCTTGAACTTCCCGGGAATAGGTCCATCAGCCATGTTATTGGCCATTGAGTCCAAAATCAAGCCAACTTTTGCCTGTAGTGGTGTCCACATGCTGGTTAGCACCTCAGTTTAGTGTCACTGGGCAACAGGCAGGGGTATGGGCAGGTACCAGCAGGACAAGAGCCTCACATGCTGTACTGTCCTGCCTTGGAAAAGACACATCTCCCAAAGGAAAGACACATCTCCCAAAGGAAAGACACATCTCCCAAAGGAAAAGGGGAACGTTAAGTTGCTGCTCTGCCTCTCTCCACCTCCAGGACCATTTACTGTGTCTGTGTGTAAAGGCACCCTTAGGCAAACTGAAAGTCCTGTGGAAGTCCTGCCTAGTGTGGTTGCTACCTGCTGATGATCAACCTGTGTGCTTGCCTGACACATGTTGTAGAATTATTGCAGAAACAAGAGTAACTGCAGCAGAGTTAGGAGCTGAAGAGGAGAGGGATGCAGAGGCCTGTAAGCCAGGCAATCTCTCAGAGGACAAAAGGCACTAAAGATGAAAAGTGATGTAAAGCCTGAACGGCCTTCTGAAGCAAGGAGGTGACAGGCAAGGTCAGAAAAACAGCCAACAGCACAAGCCAGGGAAGCCTCAGGCTGGGTTAAGCAACTCAGCCTATTCCCGCCATGTTTGCTGCTCCTTTCTGCTTGATTAGCAAATTCTTTCCCTAGAAGGAACTGAGACATATTCCTCCTGCCCTGCCCCCCTGCACATAGTGGTGCCTGTGGGGAAAATAGTTTAGGTTCTTAGTTACCTTTCCACTCCGGGTGTAATTTTCAGCATACCATTCTGATTAGCTAATGCCTCATACCCCGTGGAGCTGCTGAAGAGTGATAAGAGACCTTGAATAGCAGCCTGCTGCTCTGCCAGAGATAACTTCAGAAGAGAGAAAGCAGCAGAAAATTTGTCCCTGTGAGTGACCCTCTTCCTAAAGTATTTACTGCTATCATTTTTTCACCCCACTGGCATCTACAGACTCACTTGTTTTAGTTGATGTCAGAGGGCTAAGGAACACCATTTTGAAAGGATTTCCTGGTGTGTAGGGAAGGTTTCTGTGGTTCTGAGTGCCATGGTTGTGCTCCTGGGAACAAGTGAGAGAGATCTTCGGCTGAAGTCACACAACACTGGAAGGCTTTGAAAATGCGCTGCATCTAAGGGAGGTTAGTGGGAAGCAAAAGGAGAAGCATAAGAGCCTGTGGTGAGGTTGCTTTGTGTTACCAGAGCAACTTTGCAGAGCTTGGTCCTTGGGGTGTCTTTGGTGATGGCTTGGAGCTCCCATTGCACTGCCACAAGTCATTAGTGCAGGAGACAAGTTAGGAGAGGAGGGTTTTACATCCTTCTCAAAAACTAACCCCCAGTGTCCAAAATAGCAGAGAATGGAAATATTCTAGTGCTGCCCTGTGACATGGTAGATGTCTGGGGTATAACAGGTTCTTTGTGTCCCATCTTTGATCTCTTCTGAGCAGAACCTAACCTGGCAAGCAGAAGGAATCTGAGTTTTACTTTTGGAATATTAAATGTTTTGCTGTTTGACTGTCTTCTGGCAGTGGCCTGAACTAGATTTTCCCCTAAGGCATATCAGAGCTCACTTGCCTTGTGTCTGAAATCTGGGCTGACCATGCACTCAGGGAGGCTCCGGGAGCAGCCCCTAACGAGCACCTCCTTTGTGTGGAGCCTGGTTCTTGGGAGAGTGCAAGTCCTTTCAGGAAATTTCAGTGGAGACAGGAGGGAGCAGTGCACACTATCACTTGCAGCCCGTTGCAAATAGGCGTTTGCAAAAGGTCTCAGTTGTTGCGTTTTGTGTCCAACATGCATAAAGTGATTGGTGTTTGCTCCTGCCTAGGAGACAGAAGAAAACGGCCTCCCATGCTGTGACAGAGCTGGAGAGCACCAAGGATTGCAGCCAGGCCGGGCAGCCTGTCCTGTGCCCCTCCCATCCCGCGGAGGAGCTGCAGCTGTTCTGCGAGCAGTGTGACCAGCCCGTGTGCCGGCACTGCGTGCTGGGCAGGCACCGCCATCACCCCTGTGACCTCGCCAGCAATGTCATCCACCGGCACGGGGACGCCCTGCGGGAGCTGCTGCAGAGCAGCCAGCGGCACTTGGACACGCTGGGGGATGCGCTGAGCCAGGTCGATGAGATGGGCGGCGCTGTCCGCAGCCGCGCAGAGGCTGTGGCCGCGGAGATCTGCCTCTTCGCCAGGGGCTACGTGAAAGCCATTGAGGAGCACCGGGACCGGCTGCTGAAGCAGCTGGAGGACTTGAAGGTGCAGAAGGAAAACCTGCTGCACTTGCAGAAGGCGCAGCTGCAGCAGCTGCTGCTGGACATGAGGACAGGCGTGGAGTTCACGGAGCACCTCCTGATGAGCGGCTCAGATGTGGAGATCCTGGTGTCCAAAGGGGTGGTGTCCAGCCGTCTGACGCAGCTCAACAGCGTTGCCTACAGCACCCACCCCAGCGTGGATGACAGGATCCACTTCTCCCCCCACGAGAGGGCAGGGCAGTGCTGTGGCTATGAAGTTTTTGGGGCCATTCTCAATAAAGTGGTGGATCCAGCCAGATGTACCCTGCATGGGGAAGGTAATGGGTGCTGTACAGCAGCTGAGTGGGAGTGCACTGCTCCCTGAAGTCACCCCTCTGCTCTCTGTACCCACATGGTGTGCAGCTTCTGGCACTGTTGGCTTCCTGCTGTCCAGACACTGAGCAGGGCAGAGGTTGCACTGCCTGCCTATGGGAGCTGTGCTGGGCAGGGAACCAGGCAGCTTTTCTCATCCAGGTGTGCAGAGCATATAGCGCTGCCCTCCACAGCATCAGCAGCCTCAGCATGGGGCTGAGACATGAGGAGGGCTCACTCATGGGGTGGGAATGGCACCTGCAATAGCAGGAGGTGATGCTTTTCTGGTGCTCCAGGCTGTTCTGCAGCATGAGCCCAGGCAGATCCCCTTTGTGGCTGATTAAGTTTTTACATTACAGCTTCTGCTGAGATGGCCATAGGAATACTTGGCAATACCTTGATGGTTTTATGGATATTTGCTCACTAAGGATTTGGAGCTGGGCCAGCAAACAGATAATGTTCAGCCCATCCCACAGAGCACAGCCAGCTGTGGTCAGTAATGGTCTGTGCAGGGCAGATGAGACAGACCCAGAGCTTGTTCAATCCCTTCCGTGCCAAACTGTGGGTGTTGAGTTCTCTGGGGCTGGTCCTTTTTCCACTGGGTTGCATGGAGCATCTTGAGGCCTTCTGGGAAGGTGCCAGCTGGGCTTAGCGTGACAGACAAAAACACCCCAATGGTCTGTGCAGATCTCTGGGCTAAACCTGCCAGACATCTCTCAGAACCCATGGCTCCCACTCTCTCCTGATACCCAGAGTTATGTTGACTTTTCCCTGTGAGTGGAAGGAGCTGTAAACCCTGGAAGCAAAGTCCTGGCTGTGCTCTGATGGGGGTGCAACTCTGCAAAATAGGTGGGAGGTGGCAGTCATGGCTTGACTTGAATCCTTTGTAGTTCTGTTTCTTTCTGCTTTGGTGTTTGTTTTCCCCAGATCTCCACAGTGCCCGTCAGAGCCAGCTGAGTGGCTTTACCCTGCTGTGCAGGGACACTGCAGGGGAGCGCTTGGGGCGGGGAGGAGAGGCTGTGCACGTCACCATCACCCACAGGGACAAGAGCCACTGGTGGGTATCTCACACAGGAAATCCCTGGCTTAGCCTTTCTGCTCCCCTATCCTGGCTCCCTGCTTGCCTAGGCGGGTGGCAGGATGTGCTTCAGCATGTGGGTCAGAATCTGTAGAGGAAAAGGTACTACTCTTTTTCCCACGCTGCTTCCTAGTGGTTGTGTTTGGCTGGACAGTGATTGCTGAGATTTGCTGACAGAGATTTTTACTAAGTCTTTGAGTGATTTGAGCTTCTTAAAGGATTCAACTCTCCTTGTGTGTGTTGCTAGGCAGAGGGAGCTATTGTTCCTTCTCACTGCTCCCAGCAGACACCTGGGGCTCCTGCTTTTGTTAAAGCCTAATCAGTGTAAGTCATTGCAACCCCTGTATGGCAGTCACAAGTCAGACAGATCACCAGCACCATGAACCTCTGACAGCTGATGGAAGTGCCCTCCTCATGTTCTGGAGAAAGAATCTGTGTTGTGCTTTTGTTCTTCTTCCTGTAGTTGCAAGCATTGAATACTGTAACATGTTTGAAGATTTTCTAGCAAAACCAGGAAAGGCTGCACTTGAGCTCCTCAGTGTTTCCACAAGGAAAATGACCAACCAGAAAAAAATTATAACTGTTTCCAAACACTTGTCACTAAAGGGTAGCCAGGCATAAAAGCAGACCCAGTTGGGGGTTAGTTCTTAAAAAAACCATCTATTGTTTTATAGTAGCTGGAACCAGATGCCAGCATTAATTTGTTCCAGGAACACTCATGATGGGATGACCTGATGAAAAAAAGGGACAGGATGCTAAAACCCTTTGCTGTGTTGACAAAGCACACAGAGGCAGTGCTGGCTGCACAGATGCTTATCAATAGAGCATCATTGTCCAAGAGTATTGTTCCAATGCACCTTCTTTCCATAAGTGCACCCATAATGCAGGAAGGTGCATGCCTCAGGGATTTCTGGATTTCTCTTGGTGGGGTAGAGGTCGCTGTGGCTACATTAACTCTGTTTCTTGTCTTGGCTGCATGCACTTGCTACTTGGGTTGCTGAAAGCTGTCTGGCTTTGCTTTGAGGCACAACAGCTGCAGAAGAGCATGAAGTATCACCACACAGTTCATGGCAGGAAATTATGTAGGCAGCTGTATTGATGTGAAGTGTTGGGGGTGGGGAATACAGATTATAAACTGTCATGTCATGGGGCCCGGGAGACTAATTAGCAGGGATTAGCAAGAACACCTTCCTCTGTGCAGAGCTGCCTGATAATTGTCTGTGAAAAGTTTTCCATCTTCCTGTGGAGCGGGCAATTTATTCTCTAGTAACCAGCTGAGGCTTTCTCTCTAGCACTCTGTTCACCAGAATTCCCTGTGAAACACAAGGAGCTTCACTAGGAAAAGGGAGAGTTTACCAGCAGGGACCTATAACTCCTCAGCATTGAAGGGAAGAGTTGGGGTCAGTGCAGTTGGGAGAGTGTTTAAAGTGGTTCAAACCTACCCTATTATATCCTGTCTTCTTAATAGGTTTTTCTGTAGGTAGCTGCTTGCTGAGTCTGTGAATTTACCCCATTTCTGTGGGCTCTTATCTGATGGGACTATCTGAGTTGTAAGTGTGCTATGTGTCATCTTCTGCCTTTCGGTGTGCAGGTTGCTACAAATCCTTGCAGTGCAACTGGCTTTGTGTGACTTCCTTTGTATGGTAATTGCAGCTTCCAGCATCAGGGGTGTGTGAAAGCCACTCTAGGCCAAACTCTGGTTTACATCTAAAGCAATTTTCTGCCAGTCACTGACCTCTTGGGTTTCTCTCCACTGTTCACAGTGCAGTCAAGCCAACAGTGTGTGATAATGGTGATGGGACCTACTGTATTTCCTACAGCCCTGAGGAGCCAGGCTTGTATGCTGTCTGCGTCTGTGTGAAAGGGCAACATGTGCAGGTAGCATTTCTTGTTTCTCTTGCACTGCTTCTTCTGTACCTACTTTTCTTTTCTTAGGCATTTGTTTCAAATCTGTCTAAGGATTATTTCCACCACGTAGCAGTTCAAGGCTGGGCTTAGTGATCTGTGACTGGCAGGGTCGCCCAGATGGTGTCTGGGAATGCAGACACATCTGACAGCATCTCTCTGTTTGCTTGTCCCCCGCAGGGCTCTCCCTTCACTCTGACGGTGAAGCCCAAGTTCCGTGAGCACCAGGGGGTGTTTCACTGCTGCACCTTCTGCTCCAGCGGAGGCCAGAAAGCCGCTCGCTGTGCCTGTGGTGGCACCATGCCAGGTGGGTGCTCAGCTGCTGCCACCAGGAGGATTTGCTGCACTGGTCCTCCCTAGTGGATGGAGGTGTGAGGAGATACTCTCAGCCAACTCCCACCTTGGACATGCACCAGGAATGTGATAGACCATGGGTACACCTGTTCTGGTGGGGTGACTGCAGCAGGGAGAGATGCAGCAGGACACACAGAGGGGCTTTATGGCACGTCCCCTAGTCAGGGACCTGAGCCAGCTGTGCAGGAGGTGGGGCAGGGCACCTCAGCCTTTCAGCCCATCTGAGTGAGGCTGAGCAGCATTGCACCTACCGTGTTCCTGTTCCAGTGCTGGCATGTTGGGAGCTTGTGGGCTGTGTCACAGAGTGACCAGCTCTGGAGAAGCCTCACTCCAGTCTGGGACAAGAGTTCAACTCCCTTGCTTGTTTAATCCTAACCATCTTCCCTGTGCTTCACCTGTGTGTGTCATCACGTGTTTTGTGTGTTTTTAGGGTAGAACTGACCTCTTCCTTTTTCTGTGCTTGATCTGTATCTTTGGCCATAGCCACAAGCAGCTGGCATGGGGTTCTGGATGCCCATGTCTTGCTATATTTAACAGGCAAGGGAATGGAGATCATCAGCTTTCCCCAGCTATTGAGTTGTTCTTTATTTATGGAGTCCTGGCAATTTTTGGCTTTGAATATGCTGCATTCTCATCAGCACAATTTAGAGAAGTCCTGGGGCCAAAGCCTGTAACACACTGCGATTTTCTGGCCCACTTTGGTGCCTCTTCTCTTGCAGGTGGGTACCAAGGCTGTGGCCACGGACACAAAGGTCACCCTGGCTGCCACCACTGGTCATGCTGTGGACAAGTGAAGGAGAGCTCAGAGTGTTTGTGTGGGCTCCCCAGTGACACCTCACAGAGGAGTTTGCTCAGGACCGTGGCACTCTGAGCAGCCAGGTGAGCTCCTGGGAGTGCGGGGCACTGCTGCTGGCTGCTCCAGGAGCACAGATGATCCATGAGGATCCATATGATTTATCCCTGCACAGCCTTGCTGCCAGCAAACAGCATGATGGGTGTGAGTTGAGAGAGGGGGAATGGGGGAAAATAAAAACTGTGCCTTATGTTCCACCAAGGGGTGTGTATGCAGAGTTATTTTTGTGCTCAAACAGGAGCAAATTCTGGGAATTGTACTGCTGCCTACACTTCTGAGGACTTGTGGCCTGTGAGGACATGCTCTAAGGGGAAATTCTGAGCTCATTCTGAGCAGTAACCTCACAGGAGGGTTAAGATGTGTCCTATTCTGCAGGGTCAACAGCCTCTGCTGTCCTTCTTGATGAGGTTAAAGCTGCTCATTGGGGCCCATTCCAAAGGGTTTGTCATCATGCCTTGGAAGGGCTTGGCAACCTGAATATGGCTTCTGCCTCCCCGTTGGATATGCATCTGTATTCCAGCTTTGGATGTGTGCACATTGCACAGTCAAGCTTCTGGGAGCTGCTCTTTGCAGCTCCTACCCTTCCTCTGGGTATGCTGTAGTCTCATTATACCCTGACTGCAAAGTACAGGCAAGGTGAGTTAGTAATGTATCTGCAGGAGGGCCCAGAAAACCTCCTGGCACTGATAGGAGCAGGAATCAGAGTATCATTCACCTGGCCTGTTTGTTCTCCATGGAGATGATGTGGGACACGGTGCTGCTGGGCGTGGTGGGGGAGCCAGGGCAGTGCCCAGCTCACCAAGGGAAGATCTGGGGGCAGTCTGAGCACCAGCAGGACTCACAGACACGAGTCTGCAATTGTCTGTCCAGAGCTGGAGCACAGGAGATGGAACACAGCAAAACTCCTGGATTTGGCTTGTGCAGCCTTGGCAAGGCATTCACCAACCCATAGCTGGGGAAATGCATCTGTGATGAGGAAGAAGAGGCACTTCCCTGGAAGGGCAATTGCCAACCTGCTGCCATCTGCTTGCCTGGGTGAAGCAGACCTTCCTTTAGAAAACACATTTCTGTCATTGAGGCTGGGATCACCACTGCCCTGAGGGTAACCTTGCCAGTAGGTGTGTGTGGCTAGGGGCTCCTAATTCTGCCTGAGGAGCTGGCACAAAGGTCCCACTGCTGGGAGCTCAGGGAGGGAGAGCAATGCTGTCAACAGCAAGGACTGGGTCTTGCATTCTGCGTTAGGGCAGCTGGCTTGTAAATAGTAGAAACCTGCACTGTGTTTGTTTGCTCAGCCTTAGAAGTCTCTCATTTGTTGTTTGTTCCTCTTACAAAGCCAGTTTTGGAACTTCTTCCCAGCCAAGGAGATAGATATCCTTATGCAAATGCTGTTTATAGCTTTCCATAAATCATCCAGAAAGCTTCCCTGTCAAGCAGTCAGAGAAGGCTAGACAGTTTAAATCTCCAAGTTAGGCAATTTAAGGTTGCTGAGTCTGAAATTTCAAAGCAAAAGTTTAGTTTGAGTTAGCCATTAATGGAACAAATGGTAACTCATTCTCATCCTTGCTATGTACAGTCAATGCTCAGTGCAGAATGTGATGTAAACCAAAATGCCTAATTTTTTTGTGTCTTTCCAATTCTTTCCCCCCACCCCTTAGGTGTGTTGTTTTTTCTCAGAGCCTCCATGCTGACTTGCAGAGGGAACACATAAGGACAGCGCTACCTTCTAGGCACATAATTTCTGACTAAAAACATCTTAGTCCTCTCAGACAGAGGAATGTGTTTTCTCTTTGTGTTAGGTATCCCTTACACGCCCTGTCGCTGATGTTTTCCAAGAAGCTGTTTGTCAGAATTACACCAATGAAATTTAAACCCTTCATGGAACTGCAGCTCTCCATCTGATATAGGCAGAGCAGTTTTTGGACAGCTTGGGTCAGGCCCTGGTGTTGATTTTTTTCTTCTTGTTAGACTTGAAGGCCCAGTTGGTCCCAGGGATTAGGAAGCATTGACCAGCTACCACTGTGAGCTTGGTGTTGGTTGTGCATGAGGATATCTTGAATCAATCTTGATAAAAGACATTTAATGACCTTTGCCATTTTATGGGGGGGGGCTAGGTCGGGGTGTCCTCCCATTATTTGACAGCGGCCTCAGTCCTTATAGTTCAGAGCACTTTACAAATGATCTGCTGGAGTCTGACATTGGGCCCCAACATTCATTCCCAAGATAGGCTTCCAGTGCTGTGTTGGTAAACATCTGGGTCAGGGGATGCATTAGGAAGTGTAGTTAGTCTGCTGGGCTATATGATGTTACTTCTGTCCAGCTGGTCCTTGAGATAATAAAGGTATTTTCAGGACAGACATGAATGCAGTGCTGACAGGGCTGCACTGGTAGATACTGATATTTTTCTTTTCCCAGGACAAAAGCTCTTGATAAAATTTCCTGTCTCCAAAATTTGGGGAAAAAATGAACATGAGGAGGAGCTTTCAGAGTCAGGAGAAGAGAATTTACTCCCTCAATAAGGAAAACAGTGTAGCTGGAAGAGAAACCATGAAGAACAAGACACTATGGTAAAGCTGGAAGGATGCCTGGAACCTGAAAGCCTCCATGTACGGTGCTTGCAGAGTCAGGGTCAGGCTAAGGTATCTGTCCTTTGGGAGGCAAAGCACGCTGGTGACTCAACTGCACCTGTGCCACCAGTGTCTGTTTTGTTCCAGATGATGTCAGGAGCAGAGCAGATTCTGCCTCAGATGGGCTTCTTCTTTTTCCCACAGCAGAAGGCGCTTCACGGGGATGCACCACCTGATGGGAATGCCATGTCAGGACAGATCCACATGCAGTGTGGAGGACTTTGTGTGTTTGCAGCCCAGGGTGGCTCAGCACCCCTCTTTTGAGAAGTGAGGGCTTGTTCTGTGTGCTACCAGCTTCCCTTCACAGGCAGGTGAGGCTGAGGACAGATATTGCCAATAAGGCAGTGTCAAGTTCTCCTCCTTCCAGATCACTAGTGTTCTCATTTGTGGTACTTCTCAAGCACCTCTTGACATCATTGTTACAGATGTGGGATCATAAGGCTGGAAAGATGTCCTACATTTTGGGTCAAACCCCAAAAAGGGCTTTCATCCCTTTCAGCTTACTGGTTGCCTACACCTCTGTGGAATGTTCTGTCAAACTTGGCTAATGGTGAGCTTGCCACAACTCCATTTTCTCCTTCACCAATAGCTCCTGCAGCATTCCAGTGATGCTGAAATGAGGTGTGAATTTCCCATAAGCAGGGAAGCTCTTCTGTAGGGTACCAGCAGCTGCTGGGCCCAGCAAAGCTGGTAGCACTTTGTGCCTGCTGTTGCCTTCTCCTCAGTGAAGGCAGCTGATGTGTCCCAGGTGCTCCCCAGCTCTCACAGAGCATGTGGGGCCAGGTCCTGCTGTCACATTTGGCTGGAGTTGCTAACAAATTCAAGATTGGTAAGAGCTGGGCAGATCACATAGTCACAGTCCCTTGGTTTCTTTGGGAGGTATCCTGACCACCTCTTGGGGTTTTTTTGCAGTATGAGCATACAGACAGGAGTAGGCTCCAGCATGAGCTGCTCAGAAATGAATGTGGTGTTGCCCTGGGGAATGGGACTGGCCCTGGTCCTGCTGGAGCTGCCTGTGCCCGAGAAGCAGACATGTTTTTCCAATGTGGAAGTAACCTGATTGTTGACTGTGCAATGGGGTGTGCTGTGGCTGACCTGGAGTTAACTGAAGTGGAAAGGGGACACCTTGTCTGCCCACTGCACACGCAGCTGTAAATCCGGTGTCGCCACAGCCATTAATCAAGTGTCACAGAGGGCAACAGGATATTTCTCAATGTGCATTTCCCACCAGGCCACTGTGGCCTAGAGCTATTCTTAGCTTCTTGTGCTGTACTGCTAAATTATGAGAGGCTTAATAATCAGCAGAATACTGACAAATAATGATGATTTTTTTTTTTCTGATTATCACCACTGGCCAGTATTAATTGGTCTTGATTATAACCTCTGGTTATTACAGAGAAAGTAGTTTGGTTTTTTTAGGTGCTGGACTGTTCCCAGTTCCTCTGGGCATCCTCAGCTCTGCATGGGAGAGCTGTTCACTCCCACTAACCATCCAAATTTGCTGGAGATAGCTACAGACTGTAAAAAATCCCCTTTTTCCCATCCTCCCCAGAACACATTCCAGATGTAGATGTCAGGATACACAGGTTCCCTTTCAGGAAACAGAACATGGTGGTGCAAGCTGCCTTCCCTTCTCTTTCACAACCTCTCTGCCCTTCTCAGCCCAAGAGCTGCTCATCCTGCCCCCAACCTCATCTGAGACCAAGCCCAGAAGTAAAGACCTGGAGGGCCTTGCAGGTGCCAGTTTCTTTCCTTTACATGCCCCAAAGTGCACCACCCTGGCAGACCTAAGAGCAGCAGGAGCTTGCCTTGGGGGAGGGTGAGAGGTGGTTTGGCCAGAGGGAGTTCAGTGGGATTAAACAGCAGTCAGAAAAGGGGCTGCTCCCAAACCTGCGTGGCTCTGAGAGCACTGCTGAGCTCGTAGGAGCCTCTTAGCACAGCACAGAGAGGCAGGGGAGACTCACAGTGTGTATGGGGCCAGGAGGGGACCTGCAGGTGGGACCTCTCTGCCCAGTGCCAGGTAAGTGGTTGGACATTTTTGTAGGGAGACCTGAGCTGGTCCTGGTTATGACACAGCCCCAAGCTGCAGATCTCCTGGGACACTTGTGCACTCTAACCCCAGGGTTAGCTGGCTACCAACCACAAGCTGTAATATTTTTTCTCTTAAATAAGACATGTTTCTCAAATGGGTGTGTAGGAGGTCTCTCCTGTTGCCCCAGTGTCTAACCAGGCCTCCCTGCCTATGACTGCCCTGGGGGTGGGGGGAGCTGAGATGCTCAGAGTTTCCTCATTCCTGAGGGTTCCGTGCCTGGGCTCACCCCTCCTTAGCTGCATGCAGTTATTTAAGCAGGACAGCTTGGGAGGAAATATCATGGAACAGGCAGGGGCTGTGCTGAACAGTGTGGGACCATCAGGCTCCTGCTGTTTGACTTGTCTCCGTAGATGCTGTCACCATGGCATCCCAAGGCCAGGCCATTTTCTGGAGGTATGGTACTATCTGCACTTCCTTTGGTAGAGGGAAAGGAGGGAATTGCACTTTTCAGACTCTTGGGATGTATCACCCTGCTGCCAGGAGCTCTCAAGAGAGCAGTTCTTTGCAGCTTGACTGTACTGCACTCACTCAAGCTACTTAAATGCCAGTACAGCTTGTTTTATACAATTTGTAAGGCCATGTATGTATCAGACACCCATGTGCAGTCAGCAGCTGTAGTCAAGATGGAGATGCATGTCCTAGAACTCTACACTTGCTAGAATTTGCTATCCCGGGGTTGAATCCTGTGGTAGATTGGGGTGGCAACGCTTGAGGAAGGGTGTATTCCTTCTGTTGTATTTTGGGGGTTCAATGGCTTGAGGAAGGCACCCCTCTGCTTCTGGTCCTCAGACAGTTGCTTGTGTTTCCATCACATCAGCTTGCTGTGAGGAGGAAGAAACTGTCCTCCAGAAGTTTCCTTGCAGGACTAAGAGCTGGGAAGACATTCTCAAAGTTCTTTGTGGCTCTCATTTCAATTACTCCATTTCCTTTGGAGCTATTGACTGAGTGCTGGTGAACTAAAGTTGGTAAAAGGAGCCATGAAAATATCTACCTCGTATCCTTATCTCCTGATTAGTTGAAAATAACCCCCACCAGATGGATGAAAGGGCAAATTTTTCATCCTCTAGTGAACGTGGACTGAGCTTTCATCTAAACCTCACTGCTTGAACAGAGACAGCAACAAGCTGTGTCTTTCCATCCCAGGTGTGAACTTCCCAGGCTGGATGGAGACCCACTGTGAGACAGTCCTGCTGGCATTTATTCTGTGAAGAAGCTTTCAGCTGTTACCAGTATCTGTCCCACTGGAGTGGAGCAGCAGTGGGGAGAAGGACAGGCCACGTGTGAACAGAAGAGACCTCACACATGAGCCTTGCCACATGGAGCATCAAGGAAGCACTAAATAGCAATATGATCTGCACCTTTTCACTGACAGAAGAGAGGTTGCCTGTAGACACAATGTCAGAGTGTAAATATTCCCTGGGCACTGCTTTCCTCATGTGTCTGGAATGCATGCAATAACCAGCTCTGTTATTGTCAAGAGGCAGCCCAGCCAGCCTTCGTCAGGGAAATGAAATAACTGATGGGTGTGGAAAAATGCTCATCTGTACCTTGCTGCTGTGAAAACCTTCCTCCTGCTCTGCCAGAGCCTCTGCCTGCCCTGCCAAGCAGCAGCAGTTTACTGGGAAAAGCAAGCTTCTTTTAGGGACATTTGCTTTTCAGGCTAATCCTGAAATGCAGAAACAGACCAGAGAGGGGGGTGAATTTTCCAGGAAGTTTCAGAGAAGTGGTGGGAGATTTCTGCTGATTTCAGGAAAAAAAACAAAACCAACCAAGGAAACAAAACCAAAACCAAAAAATCTCCAATGAAAGCAACAACAACAAAACTCCCTGAAGTGCTGAAGAAAGTTGGGTTCTGCAATCATCAGCTGCATATTGGAATAGAAACCCTTTTGTTTTGGGTTACCACTGCCATTTCTTTTCCACAGTAAACTTTGCTATAATGAGGAAGGCAAGGGACCCTCAATATCCTAATCTTCCAGTTCTTTTGACCCTCTAAGCTCATTCCTGAGGGAAAGCTTAGTCCAAATGGAGCTAGAGAATTGGAGAATTAGGACTGTTGCCTATCACAGCCAGGCTGTGAGCCTCTCCCTGTCCCGTGATCAGCAGCATTCAGGCAGGGAATTAATGGATTCATTTAATGCCAAATTTGATTCCAAGTTTGACTGGTGAGGCACAAGACTATGGAAAATAGGGTAGGAGGCACAGAGCAGCATCCCACAGGCTGCCAAATGGGCACTGGGAACTGAGGGAGGTATCAGGGCTCCGACTGGTGCAGCCTCAGCCTCCCAAATCAGTCTGTTTCTATGCCTTTAAAACATTGGAGGTACCAGGGGTGCTGATGCACAGAAAATTGCTTCTTGCTTGGAGTGCTTGAACTGACTCCTGCAAGACACAGCTACCACCAGCCTGTGGCCAGGAGGCCAGGTTCCTCTCGTTCACTCTGCATGCCAGATCTACTCATTACTCAAACAGCAAATGTTTGTAAGGATCCTGTGATTCCTGCATCTTGCAGTTTCTGCAGAGGAAACTCCAGAGGGACTAATTTCTCCTTGTCCCTCACAAGGGGTGTTGAAGTGGGCAGTGGACTCTGTATACCCAAAATTGCCATTCCCCCTGTGCAGCTTTTCCAATCAGCTGTGCTGGTGCTCTGGAGCAGGGTGGGTAGCCACTCTCTGGGTGCAAAGCCAGCAATGCTTTGCAGCCATGGGGGCAGGTGGCACCTGCACAGGACAAAGGCATTGTTGTGGCCTGTTTGTGCTTGTTTGTGTTTGTCTGTGAGTAAGCTGAGGATGGTTTCGGACAAATGAGTGGGAGGGCAGAGGTGGTGCCAGGCCAGAGGGTCCTTTCAAGGACCAGAGGCAAGTGTGGTGGCACTTGAAGCATTCAGGGACTGCACAGGAGGACATCCTGGCTACTCATATCTCTGCCATGCCTCCCAGCATTTACTGTAACCCTCTGGCAGCATCCCTCAATGTGGAGCAATTTCTTCTCTGCCTGTCCTTGGGAAGAGGGATTGTAAGATAAGGGGATAAAGATGAATCACAACTGTTGTGAGTCAGCACAGTGTGGCTGCTGCTTGCTTTGTGATTCCCAGGTGTGAGAACTGAGGCTTGTCATGACAACCTTGGCTGAGTTTATAGCAGCTATCTCACTCTGGGATCAACTCCCAGAGTGGAAATTGGTAGAGCTCCTCAAGAAGATGGGTGTTATTCAGTGTACATGAAACTGGCATCTTCCCCAGAACAGGAAACCACAGAATGTCCCACGGTGAGCCTGGCTGGGACCTTGAGTGACTCAGGATTGAGCCCCGTGGGACATGGCGAGGCTTTGCTGAAAGCTGTCACATGTCAGCATCCGCAGGAGCCATCGAAGTCCCCATCCTGCAGGCCCCTGGGGGAGGCAGTGCCTGGGTCCCCAGCTGCCTGGTGCCCATGGCTGGATGATATCCATGGCTTTTCTCCCAGTAGAGTCAGCTGTGATCCACCTTGAGGGATTAGGAGGGGAACTGCTGTTCATCCCAGCCGTGGCTGAAAGCTGGTGACAATGGGGAAGAAGCCAAACGTGACATCTCCCAGCTCCGAGGGCATCTAGGCAGAGCTTGGTATGGATGTGAATGTGTGAATGGATTTGTGTGAGCCCTTATCTGGAGGTACCACATATTTTGGTGAAATACAGAGTTCTGATTCCTTCTGTGCATGTGCAAACTGGGCTTTCTCAGACAACTTCCCACTGGCTTTAAGGATGAGGATGCAAGGGAGACATTGGGAGGTCAAACAAGTCTGCAACATCTCCCTTTTTCTCTATTCCCTCTTGCCTTTCTCCCTTCTGTGCTGCTCCCTCAGGGGGAGGCTTGTTCACATGGTATGATTCTCTGGATTTCCATATCAGCCCTGTGATCGTGGCATCTGTGGCAGCTGAGCAAGTCACAGATGCAGGCACACATCAGTGGTGGGAGGACTCCATGGAGGTAGGAACATGTCCTGTCCTAGATGGACTGTCCTGCAGGAGGCTGCCCATCAGCTTTGTGTTGGCAAAGTGTGCTGCAAACCAGTAAATGCTGCTGAGGCAGAGCAGCTGATTTTGTGTGGGCAGAAGGGCTGTGACCTCTCATAGCCTGCAGCTCTCTGGGCTTCTCCTCTGTGAGGAGTCTCTGTGAGACTGCTGGGCACAAACTCCAGGATGTACCTGTGGGATTTGTGGGGAGCTGCCTCAGGGCTTGCTCTGGCTGGGAGCTGAGTTTGCTGCCACAACTCCTCAGTCCCCAGGGAAATGTGCCTGTGACCACATGACAGCTCCACTGGCTGTGGTGGGAGTCCATAGCCAGCTGTGCTTCTGGGTCAGCCAAGCTGGGCTGTGCCAGAGAGGCTGTGCTTGGCAAGGCTGGAGCTGTGCTGATCCATGACATGCTGCCTCTCTTCTCCTCTGGCACGGCTGCTTCACCTGTGTGGCTTGGCAAGTGGTCCTCTCCTCTTCAGTCTCTCATTCAACAGCCCATTACCCATCCCCACATGGAGCATCCCAAATCCAACCAGCTCCAAAAAATGGCCCTGTTTCCTGATCCCTCCTGCACATTCCCTGCCTTGCACCTGGTGTCTCCTGGGCTCAGGGGCTTTGCTCACTCCCTGGTCACTCACAAGCACCAGCAGGGACTGCCTGACTTGCTTATGCACCTGGGAGGGCAGAGAGAAGCCTCCTGCCCTGGGGCCAGCTGCCTGCTCTCAAAGGCCTGGGTCTCCTGCCACATGGTCCCCACTGTTGGTGACAAGGGCTGCTCAGCTGGATGTTCATCCCTATTGTGGTGATGTGCTTTACCCATCTGCCTCATTCTGGGTCTGTGGCTCACCTGCCTCCCCCTCCTTCCTGCAGGCAGCTCTGCAGATGGACAGTATGGCATGGGCTGTGAAGGAGGTGGGCTCTGTGCTAATGCTGTCCTTTCCTTTTTCCCCAACAGCATGACTACAGTCATTGTCATCCTGGCTGCAGTGATCGCCCTGATCATTGGTTTTGGTGTCTCAGGTGTGTGACAGCTCAGATTTCCTGCAGTTACTGGTGGGATTATGAACTTCTGCCCTGCCTCTACCTCTGTGTGTCCATCCCGTGCACAGGCTGAGGTGTGATCATGTGTGGAAGTTTCGCCCACCATCCTTTAACAAAGGCTAGGTAGGGGTGGTGCAGTCTGTGCTGCTGGAGGTGTAGTGGTGAAATTCAGTGCAGCTGAAATTCCCTTGGGCTTGGAACCCCAAACCTGAACATAAAGTCCTGCACATTCTCTGCTCCTTCTCCTGGATAGGAGGAGATGATGGGATAGTATTTATTGTGAAATCAGAGAGCATCTGCCAAGATGGGGTGCCTTTCCCAGGACCCTCAGAGACAACAAAAATGTGTTGTTTTGGTGTTGGCCAAAATGCAGCTTCCTTGGAATGTGCTGAGTGAGGATGGGTAGGGAAGAGCTGCATGGGGAAGAGGGCCTGGCTCTGGAAATTCTCAGGCTTGCAGTTTAGGATTTCAGATGCCCACTTTTCTTAAATGAAAGAAAAATATTTGGATTTCAGTAAGGGGGTGGGGATAAAAGCATCATATAGTCAACCCAGGACAGGGGGAAAGAGCTGCTATTTCTCTGCCAGTATTATGCCTTCCGATCACATTTATATTGCATAAAGGGAAGTCCTGACTAAGAAATGACATAAAAATCACGCTTTTCTGGCAGCTGCAAAGAGAACAATCCCTGATACATATAAGTAAACAAGAAAATACCATGTGAACTCTTCTCAAACAAGTAAGAACAGCTACTTTTTTAAGCACTCTTCTGCTACAGAAATACTCCTGTGCTTTATCATGTATACAGTCCACAGGAGCTGGCCTCTACCAGCAGCACTGGTGGCAGCCACTGGAGGCCTTGCTGTGTGCCAGTGACTGTTCAGCCTCGGGCTTGCTCCATGACAGCCACAGGGCAGCCTGGCCTTTCTCCAGGCTTGCTGCCTCACCTTTCTCCAGCCTCCTTGCTCTCTCCTTGCAGGAAAACACTCCATCAGTGTGACGGCGCTGACATCTCCGGGGAACATTGGCCAGCGCAGCGTCCTGGGCTGCTCTTTCGAGCCCGACATCCGGATGGACAGCATTGCAATCCAGTGGGCCAAGGAGGGAGTAGCTGGGCTCGTTCACGAGTTTAAGGGAGGGAAGGACCACCTGCAAGAGCAGGATCCGTCATTTCAGGGCCGCACGGCCGTGTTTGCGGACCAGGTGATCGGCGGGAATGCCTCCCTGGAGCTGAGGGATGTGCAGCTCTCCGATGCTGGCACCTACCAGTGCTCTGTCACCACAGCCAGAGGGAGCGGGGCAGCGGTGCTGCGCTACAGGACAGGAGGTGAGGGCTACAAGGAGCAAAATCCTGCTGCAAAACATGTGCTAGTGTGGCTTGGTTGAACCCACCTGTGCTTGTGATGCTGCTACACCCCTGAGGAGGGTGTATTTCTGGCTTTTACAGGATATTTATGGCCTTAACCCCTCTTTTGATACCCTTGTTCCAGAAAAGGTTATACTCTTAATAACATGGTAGCTTTTTCTCTCTAGAATTAGGATGTATCTCCAGCCAGAAGTGCTGCATAGTAAAAACTGTAGCGTATTTAATGTATTTTTCTCAGTTTTTCTGAAGTATTCGGTTTTTTAAAATTACTACCAAAGCAACAAACCTCGAATGTCATACATATCTGAATGTTACATATTTACAAGAGCCAGTCCTCCAGGAGAGATCTGAAAACCACCAATTCTTTGGCCTCTTCCAGTGAGATGAATTTAGCTGTAATAACAAGTCACCTCCCAAGCGGTCACCTCACGTTGAGACTGAGGGATGAAGCCCTTGCAGGTCTCCTCCAGATTGCACCCTTCCCTCTCATCCCTGTGGCCAGAATTCCTGTCCTACAGCTCAGATTGGGTGAGGAAAAGCCCTCAGACCTCTTCAAGTGAAAGAGGGTTCTGGCTCAAGCCTGAGGGTTGCAAATGTTCCACTGGGACTTGGTCCCCTATCCCTCCTTCAAACCTGGTGGCTCTGCCTACTTTTGTGTTGCTTGATTGGATGTTTAAAGTAATCTACACAGAAAAGGCATTAGAAAGAACATGTGAAATGTTGTAATGGGTTTTATTTCCAGCACAGCTGTAATACCTGTTCTGTGTGGAAAGACGGACATGTTCCTTTCAGCTGATTTTCTTTAGCTCACCCTTTCACCAGTTCACCTCCAGGTCCTACCACCCAAAACAAAAGTGGACAAATACTGAAGGCAGCTCTCCTGTGCTTTGGCTGTGTAAACCCTCCTTATTCCAGGTCTTCAGGGGATTGCTCAGGAGAGAAAATGGCTTCAAGTTGCCCCAGGGGAAGTTTAGATTTAAGAAAACTTTGCTCATGGAAAGGGTTATCAAGCCCTAGAACAGGCTGCCCGGGGAGGTAGTGGAGCCACCTGCTATCCCTAGAGATTTAAAATAAAAATACATGCATTTATGGTTATGGTATAGTGGTGGACTTTATGCTTGGTTAACAGTTGGAGTTGATCTTAAATGTCTCTTCCAACCTTAATGATTCTGTGAAGCTGTAGGTGTAGGTCAGGCCCCCTTCTCAGTGAGTGGAGAGGGTAAATCATCTTTCTCCCTTTAAGAATAAGTAAAAGACACTAAAGCTGTGTCATGACCTTAGCAGAACCTGTCAAGCTGGACTGCTATGTCCTAGGAGTCCTTGGATCCCTTGTACTCATCCTCCCACAGCCCAAGCTGTACAGAGCTCTGAGCCTGTTTTTGGCTTGGCTCCAGGCAGTGCTGCGCTGCCAAGCAGCGAGCAGCCTAGAAATACCTGGGACTGGTAGATGCAGTTGGGTATTTCATGCCCAGTTCCTATCACTTGCCTGGTTTTGAGTGTCTCCCTGTTTTCCCTCATTCCCAAAGCCTTCAGCATGCCCGTGGTGCAGGTGGAGCACGGAAGCCATGAGGACGCGCTGCAGTGCGAAGCCCCGCGCTGGTTCCCTCGCCCTGCCGTGCACTGGATGGCCTGTGGTGACACTGGGGAGCACCTGCCCCTCGCTGCCAACACCAGCTACCAGCTGAACCCCAAAAACATCACTGTGAAGGTGGTTTCCCTCCTGCACAACATCACTGCTAATGCCACCTACACCTGCGTGATTGAAAACAGCATTGCCAAGGCTGTGGCCAACATCAGAGTGACAGGTAGGGCTCGACAGCACCCCGAGACCACAGGCACGGGGGAGAGGAGAGTTTCAGCAGTGCTCCTGGTGCACCAGGGGGCTCCTGCAGCAGCTGAGTCAGGCAAGGAAGGGACTGAAAGCATGGCTAATCCAACCACTTCTCTGTCCCTGGGATGAATGAAAGGGTCTGTGTTTGCTCCTGCTGTCTCATATGCTTCTTGTGGTATTGTCACCTTGGCTAGGGGACAGAACTGCCAGGGGATCAGAAAGAGGGACACACTTCAAGAGTGTATTGCTTGGAATGTTAACCAAAACCAAACCAATCAACCAAGCCTCACATCTTTTGACACTTTCTTTAGCCAGTTCATCTTAGATGACATTCAAGTACCAAACCAACAGGCCCCTTTAGCAGTTATTGGTGACAATACCTCTGACTCTGGCCCAATCCCTTTATTTTAAAAGCCATTTTACTCATAGAAAACCAAGCTTTACAAAGGTTCTGAGTATCTTCTCCTGTTCTACAAGAGAAGGACCATAATGCTTCTACAGCTGTGACTTCATTGCAATTGGTCTCCAGTACGAGAGGCAGGGTCTACCTCCATCCATGTTCAGAAAAATGGGAAGGAATACATACACACTTTATTTGCCTTCCCTGCTGTGTTCCTGTTCTGGCAGCCTCTCATAATTCTTCTGCTACAGATTTCAGCACAACGAAGGTGACCAACTTGCAGCTGGTGAACCTGAATGCAGAGTCAGTGTCATCCTCCTTTCCAGCCTGTCACTGGATGCTTCTGCTTCCCTTGTACCTGCTGTCAACATAAAGCCTCTGTAAAGCAATTGGGAACGCTGCTGGACCTGCAGGTAAGCTTGGGAAGAGAAACTCATATACATACACTATACAGAGGCCCTCTTAGGGAGTTTGGCTAGAGCAAACCTATCTCAAGCCTGCCAGAATGGTAGAGCGTGTCTTTCCCCTCTACCCGTCCTTTCCCCATCCCCACCTTTAGGTGGGACACATGGCTTGTCCCTCCCACAGGCTTCTCCCATCTCTTTCTGCAACCAGAGATCCTTCTCTTGTACCATCACCTGTCAGCTCTTACTTGTTCCCTCATTTTCTTTCCTGGGTACCCTCTGGACCTGGCCTGCAGTTCATGGCTTGTTGCTCTCCCTCCCTGCTCACAAGACCTGCTACAGGTACAAGCCTCTCCAGTAAATACTACAGACACCTTGAACATGGCTAGAGGGAGCTGCCAGCCTGAGCAAGTCCCTGCAGACCTGGAATAAGGAGGGCTTACACAGCCAAAGCACAGGACAGCTGCCTTCAGTATTTATTGGCTTTGGCTGGTAGGACCTGGAGGTGAACTGGTGAAAGGGTGAGCTAAAGAAAATCAGCTGAAAGGAACACGTCTGTCCTTCCACACAGGTATTACAGCTATGTTGATGGCAGGACTCACTTCAGGCTTTCTTCCCTATGGGGCTGAGGGCTTTAGGAGTTTCTGCTGGTTCCAGAGGACACTGTAGTACAAAAATGAAATTAGCTGATTTTTCCTGTGTTATCATTTCTTACCCACACCAACAACAGGATACTTTGTTTGGCTTCACAAAGAGAGCAAGGAATGTGATAAGGAGAATTGCATAAAGGAAAAGTTCTGATTGTAGGACAATCAGTATGTTCCCTTGTCTGATCTAACACAGTGACCAGAGCTTTGATCATGGGCAGAAGTTCAGACACAAACAGGAAAAGGGTTTCCCGCAATAAAGCTGAGAATAGCTCCTTCAGAGCACTAAAAGCAAGCAAATCTTAACTCCCCCCAAACAGATTGGATTCACCCATCTCTTGTCTTGTGATTCTCTGACTGTACCAATAAAACTGTAAATAAGAGAGGCGCTTAACCTCCTTCGTCTTCTTGGAGTGCTTAAATCAAACTCCTCTGCTGAAAAAGATGTGAATGGCAGAACAGCAATGGGTTAGAAAACTGCCAGCAAGTTTGGAATATCCTGGCAAAGACAAACCACATCTAAAGTCCTGTACGAGGAGTGATGATTGCAGTTGTAATGTGAAATGAAAGAGGAACAGATAAGCAGACAGAAGACAGAAAACTAACATACAGCACGAGGAGGAAAAGGAGACTAGTAATATACTACTGGAAGCTTCAAGTTATTAAAGTTATTAAACCCAGATATAACAATAGAGCTGAATTTTTCTTTTTTGTTTTTTAAATAAGTGTTATCAGGTACTTCCTATCTATTTCTCTCTGCTATTGTGTTATTCACATTACAGGACTACTTTCAGTTGCACTTTTAAACCAGATTTTAATCTTTGTCTTATCACTTACAGTCAACATTTTCCTCAGACTGAGATAGTTTATTTTGGGGTTTTTTTGGTTTTGTTTTGCTTTCTTTCTGGAGGGTGGAGAGAAGCTTTAGTAAAATCTTTTCTGTTCTGCAGAAAGTACCCACAGAAAGTAAGGCTGTCACAGCAACATTTGCAAAGACTTCAGCTTTAAGCTATTTTGGCAACCTTTTAGGATGGAGTCTCACAACGTTACTGAATGGTGGCATCTATCAGGTCTTGTGCCACTCACACTTTGGTCTCAGAAGTGGACAGCAAGCCTCGAGAGGAAAGACACTTCACTCATGCTCAGTAAAACCACTGCCTGTTTCACAGCTCAGTGCCTGCCTTTTCTTACCTGCCCCACCTCATGTTCAGGCTGCTGCTGATAAACTGCAAAACAATGCCCAAATAATCTTGTCATTTAGCACTGTGATTTAGCCTTCAAACAGCAGCTGACTCACTTCCCTTCTTTTCTTGAAGCAGATGCTTTAAGTGTAATTTTAATTATTTCAATTGGGTTAAGAAGACCATACCCTGTGGGAACTGTATAGTTTTGTTAATGGTCACCATACAGCAAGGAAAACTGAATACTAAAATAGATACTAAAACAGATACAGTGTTCTTTAAGTAATATTTTCATAGCTTTATTTAGTAGATACTACCACACCAAATGCACACACTGCGTGCCCTAGGCCCAAGGCAAGAGCTGTCACACAGGAAGCACTGAACATCTCTCTTCCAAAGTGTAGCCCAGAGTCACTGGCTGACAACGGCCCAGAGTGGCCATTCAGGAATTCCACAAGTCACAGCAGCTGCTTGACTGCACCCTTCACCCTGTGCTCACAGGCTTGTGCTCCCCCTGAAAGGAGAATTAAAAAGCTCCCGATCACAGTAGGTATTTCCATAATTCCTCTCCCACTGGGAGAGATATTAAGCAGTGGCTCCCACTCAGCAGGAACTGGATGTCCTGGTCATTCTCTGGCTGTTCATGTAGCCTAAGGCATCTTGTCCCACTTCCTCCACCTTCAGGCACAGCAGGCTTGGACGAGGCCCCACTCGTGACACGAACTCCACTTCACCGGAGCGAAAATTCCGCAGCTGCAGGGGAGCTGCAGGGGAAGGATACAATGGGAACAACTCAGGACAGGGCTCTGGCTCTGCTCTAGCCCACAGCTGGGGGAGGGAAGGCCTTGCAGCAGCTGCCTGGCATCTGCCAAACCTCAAAGGACAGCACAATGAATGACTCCAGGATGTAGGCAGAGGAATGCATTTTGCCAGCATCCCTCCAACCTGCAGGAAACAGACATTCTACACTGTGAAATGAATGCTGTGAACTGTGTGCTCACAGAGCTGATGCTCTGAGCTTTGTATCCTGTATCAGTATCAGCAACCTGCCTTTACAGACAGTGTACATGACAGCCAGAAAGTCTCCACTGCAGAGCTTAGCAAATCAACCTCTGCACCACCTGCACTCAAACTTAAGCTCTAGGAACGTGTGCAAACAATGTGAAGAACTGGTGTGAAGAATGTCCCCTTAACACAGCAACTGCACAGTTGTGGCAGCATGAGCTCAGACCTCAGCACTCATGAATTCAAAACACTTCAGTGCTGATTTCCAGGAGAGGATTTCCAGGCCTGCTACCAATCCTACATGCTGTCCTATCTACAGTCAAAACCCACTTGATTTGAGAAGCCTGCACAGTAACTCTCGCTGATCAGATTCCTGTCCCAGACAAGGATTGGGAATCTTTCTCAAGAACAGTTTAATGTTTCTGTGTGAAGTAGAAAAATTTATCCTATGTTGTTTTAGGAATTTCCATAATATTATTTCTCTATTTTTATAGCCATGGATCTACTAAGACACAACTTAGTCAACTTAGTTCTAACCTACAGAATATGAAATTCCAGGAAAATCCTTCAGAGATCTTGCTATGATGGGCAGTGAAGGCACCTCTCCTTCCCCAGCCTGGTGAGATGCCTCCTCCCTTCCTTCCCACACTAAACATTAGAAAAGCCAGCAGAATAAGCTCTTACCAGGCTGCAGGATCTTGGAGGGCTTCCTGTCTAGGCTGAAATCCAACAGGATAGGGCGACATATGAGAGGACTTCTGCACAGACTCCTTAGGTAATGAGCAACAAGATCCTCAGGTTCCTCTAGACACTGAGGAGGGAAAGAGTGTGTTTCCAGGGAGTATTCAGTGGGAGGCAAGGAGGCTCTGGAACACCCAGAGCAAAGGGAAATCCTGTCCAGCCGAGACTTGAGCCCAGCAGACTGCAATTGCTGCTGGAATAGCCCACTCACCCCTGTTCCAGGAGCTTCCCCGTGCTGAATGCACACGCTGCCCCTGCTCTGCACACAGTTCTGCACAGCTTCCCACTCGAGAAGGCTCAGGCCCAGCACTGCTGCCACATGTTCATTCCTGCACAGCACCACAGCTTCACCTGTTCCATCCTCCACCAGCACCCTGTGCAGAGAGCAGGCAGGCTGGGATCAGGAGGGCAGGACAATACCTGCTCCCTCACAAGGGCCACACCCCAGAAAACACATCTCAGCAGAGAGTTTGTTCACCTCTCAGAAGATGTGATAACTCCATCTTTGCTGTTGTGTCCACATCCCATCCCTGATATGATTTTCCCCCTCCTGTTTGTGGTGTAATTTGCTCCCTCCTCCCCCCTCTCCCCACAGCCAATCCCTACAGCAGTTACCGTGCACTGGCTTGCCTCACTCCTGTTTGTGATGGACATGGAGGATTGTGTCGGGTGCACCTCCCCTGAAGGAAGAACAAAGCTACAGCTGTGTATGGGTGTAAGTGAGAAGGGGAAGGGCCACTGCTGATTTAAATCCTTCTCTAATTAAGTAGGCAAAAGTGTAAAGCATTTCACTGCATTTCCAGTGAGTGCCCTGGGAAAAGTTTATATGGGGAGAAAAATCAACTTGCTGCAAGGTGCTGATCCCAAATAGCAGTGAACATGGAAGAGCAGAGCATTAACAGAGTAGGATTGTCCTCTTCAGTGCCCTCACTTCATCCCCAGTCCTAGCTGCCAGCCTGCCTGACATCAGATACACACTTCTAATCAGTTATCACTTTGGTCCCTTTCTAATATGCAAGTCCTTCTCAGACACTGGAAAAAGGGTTTGCAATCGAGATAGCAACTCTCATTTCTTCAACATGGTAGCAAAGGATATGTGAGAGTAAAAAATCTGCAAGACCTCTCACAAATTATGTTTGTGGAAGCTTGAATACCTCTTTGAAGATGCAGCTGCAAAGTGAGCAAATCCATTGCAGGCGCACAGTCAGTACACAGGACAAGTGGCATAAAATCCGGGCCTGGGCCTCCTGCAGCTGAGGTCTCAAGCTGGATAGGAACACTAATGAGGGGGATGAGGCTTCTCCTGCAGGACTAGAAGAAACAGCAATTTGAGAAGCTTGGAACATAGAAGCCTTTCTTTGGACACTCTACCATGAGAACAGACCCAACACTTAC